CCCCAAAACCCCAAAACCCCAAAACCCCAAAACCCCAAAACCCCAAAACCCCTTTTAAATTAATGAGAATTGAACTTATTTTCATTACTCTGAGTCCTCACCCAAGAATCCCATTGTTCATAAGGTGTTTGAAATGTATCTATTTTAGCAAAAACTTCGATGAAGACTATGTCCTTGTAGCAAGAGCTTCATATCATTCCTAAGATTGTCCTTCTGTCTCTTGATATTAGCATTTTGTAATCTTTCAATAATTCTCATCTTTTTCTCATAAACCTTACTGTTCATGTAATCTTCTTGTTTGGTGATTTGCTTTTGTCTTTCTCTTCTCTCCCTGTTACTCCTTACTTGGTGCTGAATTTGATGCTTGAAGCTTTTCTTTTGAGGCTCTACCACCTGGTAGTAGCGATAATCAGGAGTGGTATTTAAACCGACTCCATTACCTTGAAGAATAGACTTTTCATAAGCATTTGATTCTAGAGGGTGCTTCAGAAGATATTTATTTTAATTTATCCCTCTTTTTCTGTTTCAGCTTGTGCACTTTGTGTCGTGGGTCTCCAGTCATATATTTCACGAATTCATTTCCATCTCCTCCTTCAAGATTAGAATTTCTAAGATGACTTTTACGTTGATTCGAGAGACGTTCGTGATCATGCCCAAAGATTTCTGGGTTGTGCATTACTAAGTTATGCCCATCTTCATACTTGTTCAATCTATTATTGAGCTGCTCTTGCTCGCGTTTGAGATGATTGACCCACATGCATGCCCATCCATCTCCTGATCTGACTTGTTCAAAGTAATCTTGTCCTTTATCTTTGGAATCGACATCAGAATCATGATGGCTGACAATATCGTAATTGTTTCGAAGGATATCAAATGCAGAGTGAGATTGCTGTAGACCTTTCTTACTGTCTCTTTGAGTCCTTCTTCTAGGGTCGAAACTTCTTTTAGAATTAGTATTGCTCTGCATTGAATTCTGACTTCCTCTCTTACTTTGCACATGGTGGTTCATTTTGTGCATATTTTGAGATAAATTATCATTTTTGCTACTCCTTCTACTAGATTTAGGAGCACTTCTTTCAGAATAAATTTCTACTTGGCCATGATCTTTTGGTGCTTGACTGTCCTCCAAATGTATGCCCTGATTTATAGGCACTTTGGGAGGTAATTTCTGTATCAAATGTTTATCTCCGCCTACAAAGATCACAAAAGAACCTTACTGTTCCTTGGTTGATTGTGAGAGACCTCTTCTTGCCTGGAATTACGATGGGCTTGATGTCTAAAATAAAAGTAAATTAAAAGTTTTCAAAAGAAAATAAAATCTTATGCATACTTTATGCCATTGGTGTTGGATACTTTTCTCTGAATATTAGCACTTCTTCTGACAGGAACAGCACTGGCAGATCTTTTGATATTTATTTCTGGCCTCCGAGCTGGTACTGCAGACTGAGCTCTGTGCTTTATGTTTTTCATATAGAGTTTATTGATATTTTCTCCAATTTGGACATCAAGAGTAGTCATATTTTTCAGGTTCAGATTATTGCGTCTATTACTCCAACCTAATGGTAGAGAAGGCTCCTGCTCATTCTTATGAAGCAGAAGCTTGTCATAGGAAGCGCTATGATTCAATCCAGTTGTTGTCTTATACATCTGATCCTTTGGAATACCCAAATTTCTGCCTGGCTCATAAAAAATGGAATTTGATATAAAGCTAGGAGATGCAAATTTGTTGTTCTTTTGTCCATTTGGACAATAAGGAGCTCCAACAATGCTACTAGAGCCTTGATAATATTGATACTTCTGCTGACTAATCTTATTCAGTCTATTCTCAACATAGGTTTTGCTCAAAGGTCCTGCAGACTCTCCATCGATAGCTTTCGCCATCTGCGAGTATGATAAGCTATTCTGATGATGTGCCATAGTGATTTTAATTTATTTTATTGAAATAAAAGAAGGCAGACTCAACAGCTATTTTATTTCAGGGGTTTTGGGGTTTTGGGGTTTTGGGGTTTTGGGG